CCGGGGGGATACTGTGGCAGTTCGCGTCTCCTTGCCCCCACCAGCCTTTGTCACGCTGCTTTACTGTCCGCCTCACGCTCCTTGTCGATACGCTGTTGGGAGGCTCGGGGCTTGTCAATAACCTCGCGAGTGCTCCAGGCCAATCAGCGCTGTCCCAGCTCTGATTGACTGGCGGACGCGGAGACAACGGAGGGCGCATATAGGCGCTGGGACACAACACCTCGACGGCGCACTCAGAGAAATTTCAGCTGAAATTCCCAAATGAGTTTTCATTTCGAAATGATTAATTAAATAGAGTTGTAAAGCTAATCAGCCTGCAGTATAATTCTCGAATATTTCAGTTACCTGACGATGCCGGCTGTCGAATGAACCTTTTTGCGCCTGCATGCAGAACTATGCTCTGCAAGAAATGACTACTTACGTAGCGTGCATTTTTCTCAGGATTTTAGATGTCCTTAAATATTCAATTATATTACATGGAAAACATGCATAAAAATATACATTTTCTTGCGCATTTGGTAGAAAATGACGTTTTCTTCCAACTTTATACTTGATGGAAGGATATAATTAGGGTTTTAAAAAGTTCCTAATTGTGAGATTTTTTAATACCGTGAAATGGTCGTTCCTAGAACGTCATGTCTCTGTATTTACTAATGTGACTTGTAAAGTTAGCAATATTGATCAAATCCAATGCTGAATGTTACGAATTCCATATGGTCTCCCCTCAATACCTTAGAGAAATGCGGGTTATCCGTACGCGAAAAATACATGGCTTCTAGTTTGGAAACCCTGAATGAAAGCGTGACGGCAGAGCGGGTTCAAAATTATTCGGGAATTTGAAACGTTTTTGAAAATCGAACAATACTCTTCCGTCGAGTATACAATTGGAAGAAGACGTGAATGTCTACCAAATGAGCGGAAAAATGAATACATTTATGCACTTTTTGTAGAGTATAGTCCTTGCATGCAGTCGGAAATGAGTTCATTCGAAAACCGACACCCTGAGGTAATTGAATTATGATAGAATTATGCTGCGCGATCGTTAGTTTTACAACCCTACTTAATTAATCTTTACGAAATGTAAACGCATTTTGACATTTCATGAGCTTGGTATGGTGAACTTTTATCGCCGGTTTCTCGCGAACTGTGCCGATACCATCCTACTTCTGACTAGTCGCCTCCACTATCACGACTGACCTCGGTGCCCAATTTGAATCTCACCTCCTCCAGTCTTTTCTCCCTTTTTAAGGCTATACGCGTATTCGCACTACAGCATATTATCCGGCAGCCAATGGGATGGTCGAGCGGTTTCACCGTCGGCTGAAGACCGCCCTACGCGTCGCAGACAATCCGGAGGGGAACTGGACAGACGACCTCCCCCTAGTCATGTTGGGCATGCGTTCCTCCCTCCAGTCGGACCTTGACTGTTCTGCTGCTGCTGAACACGTGTTCGGTGCCACCGTCCGACGAAATCATCGCCACTAAGATTCGAGTGTACTGCGCATCTGTCCGTTCCCTCCTTCTACATGGTTGTAAATGCAAGACTTTGCGCGAGGAGGACGAGCGAAAACTGGAGGTATTTGACCACCGCCACTTGAGGACATTCCTT